TAAGTTAATTTAGGAAATAATGTAACAGTCGAGGACTACTAGTTTTATAGAGGGAGGGTAGTTAAGGCTGCACTTAAAGTATTCGCCTTACTTTAAAAACTTTATTACTCTCTTTTTGCGATCTCTCCTTCTTTATGCAATTAGTACTTTAGTTTTAGTTTAATTTTGTCTACCGTCAAATAAGATATCCTTATAGAAAAGGAAAGCAGAGTTTATTGTTAAGAATTGAAATTGTGAATGAAATAAAACTTTCATTAATTTTTTAATACAATTAAAAGTGGTTTCATTTTAACGAAAAAATAAAAAATTAATTTACACAGCTGTTTCTAAATTATTATTAAAGAAATTTGACGATTGAAAAAAAAACTTATTATTCTCAAAAGTCATGCTGTCTGTTAAATAAAATAATAAAATAAAAAGCTGGTAATAAATAATTGTTGCAAATAATAAAAAACAAAAAAGAAGTGAATGTGACGAAGATTTCAGTGCTGGTGTTTCCAATTGCGGCCCAATTGAAGAAAATAATTGCGAATATTTAAGTTCTAGTGAATGTGATGAAACGTCAATTAATATTTTTGAAAACTTTAATATTCGCAATGAAGTGTAAAGTGGAGTGTAAAACATTTAATTTCTAACAATGCATTAAATGAACTGTTGGTAATTATAAAAAAATAGAACCAAATCTACCAAACGACGCGAGAACATTAAAAAAACACCAAGAGATGCACCAATTGTTCCGCTTGCAGGTGGTGAATATGTGCACTATGGTCTAAAAGACTGCTTGACAGTTTTAGAGCTCGTCAATATAAAAATCACCATACAACAAACACCCAAATGACAATAGAAAAGTTACCAATAGATATAGTTTAATCATTTCCATTTGATTACATGCACGTTGTGTGCCTTGGAGTTGTCAAGTCCTTGATGAAAAAGAAATTGTTCTTTTTCGCTGCGACCAAAACAAATCAGACTGTTGGATTATAAACTCCAACAACTTATACCTCATACACCGCGGGAGTTTTGTAGAAGGCCACGAGGTTTAAAGGAATTTGAGCGATACAAGGCCACAGAATTTCGTCAGTTTCTTCTTTATAGTGGACCTTTTGTATTAAAAATATTATAGATGAAAGTCTTTACACGCACTTTTTGCAATTAAGTTTGGCTTTACGCATTTTATTAGATGAAAAAAAATGCAAAACACATAACGAGTGTGCTGAAGTTATGTTAAAAAATTTTGTGATGAATGTTCCAGAAAATTATAATGAAACCATATTGACATACAATTTCCACTGCCTAACTCACCTAGCAAGTGATGCTTTATTATATGGTTCACTGGAAACCATAAGCACCTTTAAATTTGAAAATAAATTAGGACAATTAAAGCAACTTCTTAAAAAAAGAATAACATATCCGCCCAGTTATATAATCGATTGGTTGAACAAAGCCTGAACTATTCAAATTCAGAAGAGCTTGGAAAATTAGGAAAAAGTACTAACACTTTTGTTCAGAATGAATATATATATTTGTCAATTTATTCTCCTAACAACTTATATAGCGTTGGACAAGAAGTTTTCAAAGTTTCATCAATTGACTGTACAGGAGGACAAAGAGTTCTTGGAAAAAAAGTATTGAATTTGGAAGAAATGTTTCACCGTCCACTGAAATCTTCTCACTTGAATATATGGCAAACAACACACTTATCTTTATCAGAAACAACTCATGGACACTTTTTACATAAAATAATTAAAATGACTTCTTTCTTTAATGACGATAAAATAGGTTTTTTACCCCTAATTCACAATGTCTGATGATTTCAACCTTTATTTCACAAACGAACAACGCAACATAAATACTCTGGAACCACCAACAACTAACCAAAACAACATCATCAATACAAATTTTCCAAATTCTGAAGGTAATAAAGAATTTATAAAAAATTTCTGTAGAAAAAATTATTACATATTATTTTATTTCAGAAATAGCGAATAAAGTGGTTGCAGCAATTCAGCCAATGTTAACCCGGTTAACTAACGAAGTCCAAAGCATGCGGAAGGAATTGCAGGTATTAAAGAAAGAAATAGCTGAAATAAAACGCACCGTAATGCCTGATGAACCATTTAAAGAAATTGAGCTCTTCTTCGATTTTGAAAAACAGCTTCAAGAAAATGCCGAAAACTTTGCATTTTTTGTAAGTTTTATTGGAATCCTATTCATTGTACATATGAAAATATTTTTTCTTATCACCTTTTTCAGGAAAAGGAGTTAACACTGGTTGCCAAAACTCCAAATTTTACAAAAAATTGCTGGAGAAAACTAATAACTGACGTATTAGGAGAACAGTTATGCTGGAAAGACACTGAATCAAAGAAAAGTGTATGAAATTTTAGCACAACAAAGGCAATACGAAGTAAGAAAAAATTTTAAAAAATACAAAATTATAAATACACTATTATAATTATTAAATATCTACAATTTATAGGTGCAGCATTGTCCATTGGAATATCAGAGGATCAGTTTATAAAGGACACTCGTACATATTTCCAATTCGCAAAAAATCGAATTAAGCTCAGAAACAATTATAAAACTAAAAAACACAATAAAATAGATAAATAATATTTAATTGAAGAAAATTATTATTTTTTATTATTATCAAACTTATTCTCCATTTATGTGGAAAAGCTTATGAAAATATTGAGACAGTAAGCTTTTAAATACAACAATTAATATAATACTACATTTGTAAGCTTATTCTACAATTGCAAGAATAAGCTTTTAGTAATATTACACATGTAATATTATCACGAGGGTTCCGTTTTGATTTTTCTACAATTGTTACGATAACCTTTTTCAAGATTTTCTTAAGACTTTTTCAAGCTTAATGCTTGTGTTGGTAAGCTTAATATAATATTATTCTCAATACATTTGGTTTGTTGGGTTATCATAAGGCGACCAGTGTATGTGTATGTAAATCAACCCAGCAGGAAATGTCAAAAGTGAAACTGTACTGAGCTTCTACTGACACAGTCACCAGTACTAGTGACTTATTATATGACATACTACTATAGACATTTAACATGTGTGTGTCATTGAAAATCTACTACTAACTTTAGTACTATTGATTAGATACTTCTTTTGGGACCATACTTAAACTTTGGAACCAGTGAATCACTGGTAAATTTTAACAATTCAGCTCTACACTTTTGGTATTTTTTGTAGTAAATAACTAATAAAAATGCAAATTTTGTTAAAAACAAGGTGGAAGTACACAACACGCTTTGTACGCTTCAACGCGTTATAGGCTTCTGTCAAAAAAAGTTGAAATATTGTATTTTCATTTAACAAGTTACACATTGTAGTTTGTAACGCGTCTGCCGCGAAAAGTTCACTAACTTTCAACTTTTGGCGCGTCGGCAGCTGATCAGGTTTGTATTTTGTTTTGTGTAGAATAAGAATAAATAAACTAAACTGAAATAAATTTCTCCAACAGTGGAAGAAAAATATTAAAAATATACAAAAACTTAAAATTTTGATTTTTAAAACAATAATAGTCTTTAAAAACATAAAAATAGAGATCAAAATGACGCGAGGCGTGTAAAGTCTGAAAAGCGTGAAACGCGTTGCCGCCTCAACGCGTGTTGTGTACTTCCACCTTTAGGATTTTAGATAGAGAAAAAAAGGAAAGAAACGAGACACTCTCGAAAGTTTAAGAATGCAACGAAAAATATACAATACAATAAATACGAGAGAGGACAAGGATAACACAAAACTGCAATATTCCGCTGCAATAAACTAATTATTAATTTAGTTGAAGTTCTGTGATATTAGCATATGTTTTTGTTGTTAGTGATTATTTATTTATTTGTTTAGTAATTTCTGTGTCGTGAACTGTATAACCTATCCACAAACAAATTCAACTGTATCGTTGTTGTCTTTTATGCTTTTATTTATAATTTGTTGAAAAAAATCTCAGGCGTATTCTCATATCTCAGTTATTTGTGTAATAGGAAACTCCAAAACTGATTTCAACAAACATACAGATGGATATAAAGATCCAAAATTATATTGTAGAAATTACAAACGGAATGACAAATTTATATATGTATACCCTTCTCACGAAATTGAAGGGTATAAAAATAATAATAAGGATTTTTGATAAAATTTGTAAAATAAGAGAAAAATACAAATATTCTCAGTTCTAAGAACATATTTTCAAAGTATCTTCTTCCCACAATTTCTTATGATAGTTGACAATGGCGCATATAAAAATGGATTAATTGAGCTTTTTACCTTTAATATTTAAATATTTTTTGTATATAGAGCGTTACGTTATGATAGAGCCTTTAGTTTTTTGTTAATAAAATTGTTAATTTTGGCGGCCGGAGTTCAATTTTTGTGGACATTTGTTGTCATGCAATACATTAGAATCAACCATCGATTTTGAATTTTTGGTTAGTATGTAAGTGTCATTTCATACAAAGCAAAGATCATCGTGATGATAGTTACATAAGTGTATAAACAATTTGGAAAAAAGGAAGATCCACGAGAGTGAGAATTTACCTTTTTAAATTTAAAAACTGTGGTAACCCTTCAAAAGTATTTAAAAATTTCGTAAAAATTGCCACAACTTTTAACATGTTAAAACTAATTTAAATTTTATTTTTGCATAAAATTCTTCATATTGTGAAATTATAAAAATTTTATTTAAGATTTTTTACATATTTTTTTCTAAAAAGAAAGTTAAAAATCATATAATCCATCTAATTTTTTTTAAATTTTTATATTATGTTTTCACGTTGGTTTTTATATTATCTAAATTTAAAAAAAAATAAAGATCGATTTTTCTTTTATATGATTCTGAATTTTGTTAAAAAAATAATTTCCAAAATTTTAATTATCTTTAAAAAGTTCTATAAGTTAACAGACAAAACAAATATTAGAAAATTAAAAAGTTTCTTAATTTTGAAATCCAAAATCGAATTTTCTTTTGTATTTGAACTTACCTGATGTAAAGCTATAAAGTCTTTAAGATCGCGCCATTTACTCTCATACAACGACCGCCTAGAGTACATTCGTTGAATAATTGCAGTGACGTTTCCAAACACCACTGCATGCATTAGGGCTGAAAATATATAATAATAAATGCAAGAATTAATTTATCCGATGTATATCAACTTGGAGAAAACCAGAAAAGCAACTTAGAGTGCTATATTCGCCTATGCCGAATCGTACATACCCTTCACCTGTAAGCTTTTTGAAACCCATAGTTTATCCCAGAAAACAATTTTTTCAGACATGTCTGATTCTTATCAGAATTTTTAACGAATTTCTAAATTTTCTTTAGACATTTTACAGAATAATCGGCAAACTGTTTGTTAGACATTTCTGCACATTTTCTGAAGTAATAAACGATTAACATCAGACTTGTCTGCACATTCTCGAAAGGGAATTTCAGTGTTACGGCAATTATGAGACTAATCTGCACGTTGGCGGAGGACAATTTGTTTTTTATTCCTATATAAAAAATATAAAATGGCTTAAGAATTATATCCGATAAATCTGCACATAATCTGAAGAGAATTGTTTTTGTAACTTCGTCAGACAATTAAGCGAATAATATAAATTTCCTTTAGATATTTAAAAGAATAGTCTGCACATTTTCTGAAATTTTTTCTCGGTCATTTTGTTCCCATTCTCAGTACTTTTGTAAGAAAACTTTGCGACAACTCTGCACATTATCTGAAGGAAATTTTGTTTTTTTTTTAATAAAAATCATGCACAAACCTGTTTATATTTTCGTCAACTGTACTTTAAAAGGGAATTTAATTTTTATTTTCTCAGTTGGTCTTTGGAAATCAAGTAAACATCTGAATATGTGATGATTATTGTTTAAATTTCTTTAAACTTTGTTAATGTATGTATATAATGAACTCTATTTTCGTATATAATATGTAAGTAGTATGGTTTAATTTATTAATTTTAAAAATAATTTATAAGTTTCTATTAATTATCCATTATCATGAATAATGGAAGCTTATAAATTATTATGAAAATTAAACCATAATAAACTATATATATGAAAATAGTTTTCATCAGACGTTGATCAGAAGAGTCAGACCATTTTCTTATACTGGATCAGATTTTTGTACGAACTGTCGGACATTTTATCAGACATTTATCCGACATCTATCAGACTTTCTTATACTTGATCAGACTTTTGAACGAACTGTCGGACATTTTATCAGACATTTATCCGACATCTTTCGTACGAAATGTAGAAAGAATGTCAGACATGGTATCAGACATTTGTCCGACTTCAATCAGATTTGTCGAAAATTCCTTCAAAATTTCCCCAGGATCCGAATGTAAATTCTATTTGAATCAAAATTTCTTGGCATTACAGTATTTTTTGTGTGCTGATAAATAATGAATGTCGCCTAGTGGCCTATAGAGGAGCTAATTTTATTTATTTGTTTTATTTTGATTTATTTCGTCGTATTTAAATTTATTTGTTTTATTTAATTTATTTTATTTGTCATATGACGTTAGGATTTTTTATGTTGTTCTTTTTATTCCCTTTTGTTCTTATTTGTTTACGAACTCAACGCACTTTGTCCCTAAATTCAACTGCAGTATTTTCGTTAAGTTTTTTTTTGTTTGGAATGTAACAGTTAGTAAATGTACATAAACAGAAAGAAATTTGTAGGCTCAGTATTTACTGGCTTTAATATTAAAGTTTTAGTTTGTTGGGGACAAAGACTGCGGTAAGTAGCTTAATTTATTTATAAGTTTAATTTGTAATAATTTTATTGTTCTTAAATAGAATCATAATTTTAAACAAATTTGTGGTTCTTTTTTGTTGTTTGTTAAACTCGCTGTCCTCAACATAAGGCTCAAGTCGCAATCTTTGGTGCGATTGTGGTTCCTTGCCTGCCAGAACAAATTTTATTGGATTTAAATGTTTTTTGTGGTTCCTTGCCCGCCGGAGCATTAATATGTTTTTGTGTAATTATATGTAAGTGGTTCCTTGCCTGCCGGAACAAATTTTATTTTTACTTTTGTGTGAATTTGTGGTTCCTTGCCCATCGGAACAACATTTCAATTGGAATAATTGCCTGCCTGCTGGAACATTAAGAAGTTTTGTGTGAATTTATTTGAGAGTTTCCTTGCCTGCCGGAAATAAATTTGAAAAGAGCTCAAGTGGTTCCTGTCTGCCGGGACAAACAATACATTTATTTAAAATAATTTTGGTGAACAATTTGCCTTTTAAATTTTTGGTGTGAAATTTTTGTGGTTTTTTGAGAAACCTTTTGTGTATTTGTGGTTCATCATACAACGCTCCCCTGCAAGAAAAAGCCAGCGCTTGCAGTCAACAATGAATTTGCCTACTAGTGGTTCCTCGTCTGCGGGAACAAAAGTTGGTTCCCTACAAATGACTGCTTCTGCCCTGCCTGCCAGTTCCCTTGCCGCTGGAACATCATCGACTCCCACTGCCGCTGGAGTGCCTCCACCAAACGTAAGTACCAGTGTCGCTTATTCAAACCAACCAGCTAAAGTTGCTCCTTCTATTGCCGAGGTGCCTGCAAGTTCCATCGTTGCCGGAACGACGTGTACCGTAGCCACCACAGTTGCCGCCAGTGTTCAACCTAACCAACAAAATTTTTTGAGCTCTGCTGTTCAGCCGCCGTTGCCCCAGTCGAGCTGCAACAACAATTTAGAAGTTCTCCAAAGCCAGATAAATGTTCTCCAGGCTCAGTTGTTCAATGCCCAGCGTGCTTTGTCCATCGCTATGAACAGTAAATCGACGCCAAGCTCTTCAGCCGCCATGCCACAGCCATCCAATATGGAGCCGCCAGTAACGGGTACCAGTAAAGCCAACGTTGACAATTCTGCCTCAGCCAATGTCGACTGCGCTGAACGTCGGACGCCATTTTCTTCCGTAAGCTGTAATAAAAATAATTTTTTGATGCCGCCAAATATGCCGTTGTCTCATAATGGTGGCTCGATGCTGGTGCATAGAAAAATTTATGACTTGCCGGAATTTAATGGTGTTCCTGAAGATTGGCCCATGTTTTCAACGACTTTCAACCAGTCTATTTCTGTTTATAATTATAACAATTTTGAAAATTGTTTGAGGCTCCAAAAGGCTTTGAAGGGCGAGGCACGGGAATGTGTAAAGTCGTTATTGATCCATCCTGATAATGTGAGTATAGTTATTGAACAACTGTGTTTTCAATATGGTCGGCCCGAAATGCTCATTCGTTGTCAGCTGCAACAAGTAGAAGAAATTTCGCCCATTAGTGAAAGTGCTATCGATAAACTTGTGCCTCTTGCTGTTAAAGTGCAGAATCTAGCCGCCTTTTTGGAAACTGCCAATGGACAACAGCATTTAGCAAATCCTACACTGATGGAAGAACTGGTCGGGAAAATTCCTATGAGTAAACGGATGGAGTGGGCCCGCTACGCCTCAACTATAAAGCCATATCCTACAGTTTTGGATTTTAGTAGGTGGCTTAAAGGTGTCGCTGATTTGGTAAGAATGGTGCAAAGTTCTAGTGGAAATCGTCAAAACCAAAAAGAAAAGTTTTCCTCCATGCCGCTGATGGTCAACATAAACAAGAATGCCCTCTGTGCCAGGCAAATCATAAAATATTTGAGTGTAAAAAATTTTGTTCATTGAGTGTGCCTAATCGTTGGAGTGAAGTTAAGAAATTCAGGTTATGTTTTTCGTGTCTGAACATTCAAGCCGATTTTGTCGTTATCGTAAGACGTGTCTCGTTGATGTTTGCCTAAGAAAACATAACAAATTATTGCATGATGTCAAAATTAATAATACGGTTTCATCTGAGACTCCTGGTCCAAGTGGTTCATCAAATGGAAATGAGTTTGTGCATAGTTGTGTGTCCAAAGCTACAGATAAAGGTGTGTTGTTATTTCGAGTAGTGCCAATTGTGCTTTATGGTCCTAGTAACAAAGTCGAAACATATGCGTTGTTGGATGAAGGTTCTTCGGTTACTATGGTGGACAGCTCCTTGATGAAGCAACTGGGTCTTCAGGGGCAACAAAGCAGATTGAATTTACACTGGTATGCTGGTAAGGCATCACAAGAAATGGCAACTGTTGTTGATTTACATGTAAGTGGAATTGGTAGGCAGAGGAAATACGCCTTAAGAAACGTTTATGGAGTTTCAAATTTAAAATTGTCGGCCCAAAGTTTAAATATGGATTTAAGTGCTCATCCTGGTTTGCCCATTAAATTATACGACGACGTAGTCCCTAAAGTGCTTATTGGGTTGGATCATTGTCATCTAAGGCTTCCCGATGAAATTGTGCTCTGGTAGAAAATGGTCCATATGCTGCCAACACTCCTTTACGATGGGTCGTATTTGGTAAAATGAGGGGTAAGTCGTCCAATTCCCATTTGTGTTTGTTGTCGGTTCAGCCTGAGCAAAGACTCTATGACTTGGTGGCAAATTATTTCGAAACGGAGAATTTTGGAGTGAAGGTATTGCCGGTCGTAGAATCGAAGGATGACTTACGGGCCCGGCAGATTATGAAAGAAACAACAATAAAAATTGATGATGTTGTGCTTCCAGACAGATACCATATGGCTCTAAATAGGCTCTTTGGCATTGAACGAAAAATGAAAACATGCCCTGAATTTGGTGCTGCATATAAAACCATAAGAAGGATTATTTGTCGAAGAATTATGTTAGTAAACTGTCGCCCATAGAAGCTGCTGATGTATGCCCTAAAATTTGGTATCTTCCTCATTTTGGAGTAGTCAATCCAAATAAGCCGGGAAAAATTCAGTTGGTGTTTGATGCTGCCGCATCCGTTGAAGGTGTATCTCTTAATTCAAACCTGCTTAAAGACCCCCAGCAATATAAGCCGTTGCCATCCGTTTTGTTTAATTTTCGTGTTGGTGCTGTAGAAAGAAATGATTCACCTGAAGATAGATGTTCTCAAAGGTTCCTTTGGCGCGAAGATAATGAAGATGCTCCCGATTGTTTTGAAATGCTTGTTATGACTTTTGGTGCTGCTTGTTCGCCTTGTGTAGCCCATTATGTCAAAGAAACAAATGCACTGTGTTATCGTGATCAATATCCTCGTACAGTGAAG